ATTTTATTTTTTTAATAACTAAGCTGGACATGTTTTATACCTCTCTATTGTGTTCCTGTGTATGTAGTGTGTTCTTTGCATGGCTTCATAGCATTATCTAGGAGTTTCATGTTTCTTCATACATATTTCTGAATTTATCAGTGTGTTCGAATTAAAGTCAACTCATAAAGGTCTACTCATTGTGGCTTTATGAGGCAAAGACTTATGAGCGGAAAGTGTTACATTTACATATTCATTGTGCTTTGTTTTTATTTGATGTTTGCACGCAGACCTGAATTATAGAATATCTGCTATTTTCTCATTACACTAGTGATTCGATTACCTTTTGAATATGCGTTTCTTTTTCTTTCAGTCACTTGAAAGTACTAGGCGGATGCTACAGATGGCAGAGGAGGTAAGAGCTCCAATGAAACCTGGAGGCTTCAGAAGCATGTTTGCTGTTACCTGAAGTACATAATGCTTAACCTGTATTTGCTCATTAGAGTTATATATAACCTGATATAAGCATGCGCATATTTTCAGAGCCGGGAGACAGGGGTCAAAACAATGACCATGCTGGATGAGCAAGGAGGTGAGTGAATGCACATTCCATCCCAATCTGTAAAAACTTGATTTAGTAGATGCTGACTAATTAAGACATTGTCTCTTGATTGAAATATTTATTCTGTCTTGATCAGAGCAACTGAGGCGAGTTGATCAAGGAATGGATCAGATCAATCAGGACATGAGGCAGGCTGAGAAGAACCTGACTGATCTGTCTAAATGCTGTGGCCTGTGTGTGTGCCCATGTGACAGGTTTGCTATTATAACTCAACTTCCAGCTACTGGATTTAAAATGTTATTCATTACGTTGTATCTCATTCATCTTTCTGGGGTAAATGAGAGTATTAAAACCTCTCTTTCAGAGTTACTTCCATTGAGCATGATGGGAGATATAAGCGGACTTGGGGCACAGGCAGTGACAACTCCAGCATGCAGGAGAAAGAGGGCGGTGTGGTATCCAGCCAACCGTCTGCCGTTCGCAATGGGCAGGCTGTTTCAGGTGGATCAGCAGGCGCCTCTGGCCCCTACGTCAAGAGGTGAGTGCAAAATACATTGAGAGTGATGGACATAGATCCAGTGTCAGACATAGCTAATAGAAACTAAACAAGAACATATGTTGGGCTTTATGAGGGATGTGATTTTTTATTTTTTATTTTATATATATATTTTCCGACTTGAAAATTATGACCCATGTGAATTTTGTAAACAAAAGAGAAAAAAAATGTGGGTTACTGTATGAAGATTGGATTTGCGAAATGGCCTTAAACAATTACTGAAATAAGTTTTCTTTTTTATTATTATTATTATGCAAACAAATGCTCACAGGAGGTGACAGATACAACAAAGACACAAAAGCCAACAAAACATACATAACAACTGCCAACGTGTGTGCGTGAGTGTAACTGTGTGTGTGAGTGGAAGTATCTTAACAGAGGAACGTCTTACACATGTACACTAGATGTAATAATAATAAATAAAGATGACAATAATAATTGAAAAGTTTATCAAATGACGAGAACACTATTTGTGCGCAAAAAAACAACAAAAATAACGACTTTATTTCAACTATTCATTTACTTCTCTCTCTGCCTCGAGTCGGGTTACTAGTTTAATAGCGTAAGCTTCTGTTATTGTACGTCACACGCGTCACACACATGACCAGCGTCGGCCAATAGTGAGCCTACGTGTGACGTAGCTCTACGCTATCACACTACGTTAACTGAATAGAGGCTCATAGAGAAGGAAGTGAATAGTTGAAATAAAGTCGTTATTTTTTTTTTTTTTTTGTGGACAAAATGTATTCTCTTCACTTGATAAAGTTAAGATTGAGCCACTGAAGTCACTTGGACTATTTTAACGATGTCTTTAATAACTTTTTGAGGCCAGCAAGTTTCAAGTCCTGTGCTTGAAATATAGTCCGACGTTATGACATTTGGTCCGATGTAAAAATTCCAACATTAAAGCCACATTTTCTCCTAATTTACCTTTATTTTTGTAGAGCTAAACTCTTGTGCCATCATTTGAATAAGCTTCCATTTTGTTGCATGCTATTGTCTTATTGTGGTTTCAGTTTTACCTACCCTTAAATGTTGCTAGCAAAAGAACAATGGTCATTTGTTGCCTTCCTGTCTAAGTAGGCAGTGCTTGACCTAGAATAAGCAACAATGTCATTCTTCAATGCCGCATTGAATATATTTTGGGTGGCTGATGCACCTTCAGTTTGGCTCCACATGTATGTGGTCTTTTTTTAAGATCTTTACAGCGGATTAATTCTCCTGATTATTAATTTAGGTTAGTCACTTTTTGTATTATTCTGTGTATAATAAGATTATACACAGAATAACTGTATGCGTTATCATTCCTAAAAGAGTAACGAATGATGCACGAGAAGATGAGATGGAGGAGAATCTGGAACAGGTGGGCGGCATCATCGGGAATCTCAAGAATCTGGCCTTGGATATGGGCAATGAGATCGAAAAACAGAACAAGACCATTGACCGCATAACTGATAAGGTAATGTCGCACTATCGAACTCATAAATGAGTTATGAGTCATAGTTTATTTATATATATTTATTGAAATATATATTTATTATAAAACAGATGTATGGTTTATGTATGTAAATATATCATTTTATGATCGTATAATTTTATATTTCATTTTATATGTATATAAATATATTATTAATTGTGTTTCCCAGGCTGATATGAATAAAGCTCGCATTGATGAAGCCAACCAGCGAGCCAACAAACTTCTGTAGAGAATGGACACTTCCGGCATCTTTCAGGAGCCTGATTGTTTGATCTTACTACACACTTACACACAAACTTTCTGCTTCACAGGCAATGAATTGCAGCAAGTGAGTTTTTTATTTTATTCCAATGCCATCTGTGCCTTTTATTGCAGTTTTTGTTCTTTAGTAAGTAGGTTGACAAATGCACACAAACATATTAGAGCCTCCTGTACAATCCAGTCTTCACCCTTAATATGTGGGACAAATATGCTGGACGCACAGAGTGCAGTTGTTTTTGCGGCTTTGCTCACTGCTGTCCTGTCAGTCTGTAATGGATGGAGTCAATCTCTCGGGATGGTGATGGGTGTGGTCCGTCCCTCTCTCTGGACTTGAGTCAACATGGCTAATTCTTTCACTAATCTGATTGAGGGGCCAAAGACTTATGACAGAACAGTATGTATGTTTGGGCGGATTGGATGTTTGATTTGTATGTCATTTTTTTCTGATTCTGTTACTGATTATACTCATATTTAATTATCTTAAGACATTAATAGGCCTTGTGAATACAGTTAGTCCTGTTCAATGTTTTGGGGAAATTTAATGGCTGTGTCGTTTTTGTAATTTACCATGCTATGTAGGAATAGGACATTTCACTATATCTATTTTATTTCTAATAAAGCCAGTATAATCCTGTAATCCAGTTAAGTTTTTTTTCTTCCGCTTTTTAAAAAATTAGTCAGACCTGACATGACCAGTATTTGTTCTATTAAACCATCATCAATGCCTTAAAGGGTGTAGTATGTAATATTGACAGCTAGTGGTTGAAATAGGCACTGTAGTGTCCAAATTGAAAATATTGGAAAGGGTTGTTTCTCCCACCCCCTTCTCCTCAGACACTAACACGGGTTGCCAGATTGAGGATACACAACTGGAATGAGCGCAATTGACAAATGAAGGCGACGAGCCTATCGCTGTATGTGATATAGGCTCACTTATTAATTGGAAACTATATTTATTGGAAAGAAGAAAATCACAAAGTTCAGGGTATGTTTCCAAACTGCCCTTCCTCCCCATTTCCAACTCGTTCCATTCATTTTTGGATTGGTTGCCCACAAGAAGTGGTAAAGTTACTCAGTGGCCCCTACAGTTGGTTCAGCAATTTTATATATATATATATATATATATATATATATATAAAATGCCAGAATCTGATCTCAGTAACTATCTATTAATTCTAGCTTTCATCTTTTTCTTGGATACTTTTACTTGGACTAATTGTTCTTTAGTTTTCCTCAAGAGGATTACATAGTAGCCTGGTTATTTGAATCTTTTAAGGTCTCAAGAACTAGACAGTGCCTCTGTTTCAACTCCCTTAGAGACTTTCTGTGTCTGCTGGCCAGGAAACTGCTGAGGAGGGTTTAGGAGCCTAAGTTATCAGCCAGCTCTGATGTTCCCTGAGAGTCTGACAAATCTAGTGACACATTGGATATAATATAAACACTAAGTTTGCTGCGTTTTGAAGACTGTCTAAAGTTAATAGAGAAAAAAAGATCAACAGGCTTCCCTTCATCTCTCTGGCCTGGTTCTCCCATTGTGATGGCCCAGGCTTGATGACACCTTCTGGTTTGGCATTGACATCTTTTATCATTTGCAAAATTACAACTGTGCCAAAGTCAACAGCAGCAGTATTACATGCAAATTTTTTGTTTGCATAGTAACTCTGGTTTTCAGTGAAATGGTCATGTGGGACAGAGTATTTGCTACTCGAAACAAGTAGAGAAAAACTTGATAATTACTGGAAAGAAGAAGGAACAAATCACAAGACTGTGAAGGGTATTTCAACAACTCACCCCCCCATTGCTAACTCACTTCCAGTTTAGAAAAATTGTGTCAATTGCAGGTTATAAAGTCCAAATTGCCTGACATAAAATCACGATTGCATGTTAAAGTCAGATTTGCGCAAAATCTCGCAATTCTAAGGAAAAAAAGTCAGTTGCAATTGTGCTTCTGATTCTGACTTCAATTGCGACTTTACATCAAGCAATTCTAAAAATATTTTAATATATCTTAGAAATGTATTTATTCAGAATGCAGTTGGAAAGTAGGCTAGAGTAGCCTAAATATAGGAATATTTCAGCTGGTTCAAGATAATTCACACCACAATAACGCAGGGGACATGATTTAATGTTTAAACCAATTCACGCCATTATATGTAGTATAATGGCGAGTAACTGCGAGTAACTTTCTGTAATGTAGGTGCTCTGAACCCTGTTACTGGAAAGTCCTGAGTAGGCCTAGTAATATTCTTGCTGAATGCCCTCATTATCCAAATACCGCTGACCCCATTTCAGTGTTGCCTATCGGGCGGTTTTTCCCATCGTAAATTGGGTTTGAATTGCAATTGGCTGGTTTTGGTATAGATACACCCACAACTCTTTCTGTGGGCTTTTATTGTGGTGCAAAGAGGAAACTTCAACATGTACAACTGAATCACATCACTCATCATCAGAACTCTGGAGCGTCTTGAGCGTAAGTTATCAGATACACACACACACCTGCACATTAACTATAAAGAGGCACAAAAATATACTTTGTAGACAACTCTTACTTTAACTTACACTTTTGTTGAAATTCTGCTGTGCTTGATATCTTATTTTGACTTATTTCTTGTGCTGTGTTGAAAATCCTTATTGATCTAAGCTTATGTGCCTCGGTTTAATAGTAATATTATTTAAATATAAGGTAATATAATATTTAATAGTCTTAAGCCGAGGTGCATAAACTCAGATCATTCATGCCTACGATCAATCATTTCTAAAAAGAAATACTAAACCTGAGCTAATTGAAATAAAACAAGTTGATAAAAAGATTGAATCCAATATTTGGCAATAATATAGCATAACAACAGTTTTATTAGCAGTTTTTTGAAAGCTAGTCATTTTTAACTTGGAACACCCATAAGTTTAACAAGGTGGGGCAAAATTCCCCCCAAAAGAGCAAAAATTTTATATTGTTCTATTCTTTCAATATTGTCACATACTTGTTGTTTATAAGCTTATGTATCATCTTAACTTTGACTTACTGTATAGGCTACGTTTCCCAAAGTGTATGTAAAGTTTTTGTGCCCGCAGAATCCCAATCCAGCAGCATGGCAGACATGTCAGTGGATCAGATCACAAGTAAAGCCAACAGTGTAACAGATGAGGTAGGTTTGTGATACCATGAAATATCATTATCTTCTTTTATGTCCTCTTGTTCTTTAGATGCTTGTTTCTGTCCCTGTCAAATTCCCAGCTCGTATGAAAGCAGCGTTTTCAACTCCCTGGGGAAAGTCCCAGGAACTAGGAACTTTGGGATGGTACTCGGTGTGTTTACACTGCAGAAATTAGGATCTAAATGAAGTTCCGTTGTAAAAAAATCCCCCCCAGAAAGTCCCTGAGGGCGAGGTAGTACTTTTTTAGAGTTCAGGAACTTTCGGGGTGGGACTTGTGCGCTGACCATTCTCATTGGTTGAGCTTCTTGGTTCTTACCAATCTTGTTCTTTCTGCCGATGGCGTGCGTTTGACCCATCCATCTCTATTTCTCTAAACTAGAGATAAAATTCCTTCTTTGCCCCATCTTTCTGTCTTTCTTTTGTTCTCACTTGTTTAGAACAACCACAGTTTATCAGAAATATTAATAGCATAATAGATTTATCATCATACGACAGTAATGTTTGACTAAGTTTCTTTTTATTTTTTTGTCAGTCAACTAAAAGCTGTAGACTAATTTTACAAATGACAGAGGAGGTAAGTTGTCTTATTTCAACCAGTTAAATTAATGACACATGGATTCTCCTTAAAATATTGTCCCAAATAACATGAAATGTAAAAATGCTAATTGCTCATTGTGTATTTGTGCAGACTGTAAACGTCGGGAACAAAACAATAACTATGCTGGATGAGCAAGGAGGTAATTCCGTTTTCTCAATGCACCTGATTCCTGATGTCTACTTAAATATCTCAAAACTTAGAGGCCTTTTCACACTTTAAATCATTTCTGTTTATTCTTATGGATGGTATTTATAGCATACTTTATAGTAATTAGCCATGAAATGAGGAGGAAAATCCCCATTCTGCACTGGAATCAGGTTAATAATGCACATTTTCTGTGCTGACCAACAGAAAGTTAATTGGTTGAAAAGTGACCTCTTTGTGAGCCACGCTTCATGCATCACTATTGATAATGGAGTACAGACTGGTGACTACCAGACCTTTATTCTCTTTCTCCCTATATCAGAAAAACTAATGAATGTGAAACAGGAAGTGGGCCAGATCACGCACGACATGGAACAGGCTCGAAAAAACCTGAACGAACTGTCCAAATGCTGTGGCTTGTGTCTGTGGCCATGGAACAGGTTGGTAGGAGGCGCGTATACCTTATTATGTGGCAATGAGTTTTTGAATTAGTTAGACTTAATTTCTTGTCGGACTACAACACAATTAATAAAGTAAGACACTGTGGAATAATATTGGAATTCTTAATCAGTGGGCCCGGCCCTGGTGACTTAAAGATGACTTAAGATGATTTTAAGTGATTTTAAGACTAAAAAAGGCATAAATTAAAGGTACACTATGTAACTTTTGGCGCTCTAGGAGTCAATAAATAAAATTGCATGTGTCGGAGCTACTTCTCTCTGTTTATGTATATGACGCAGGTACCGGGATACTCTAAAACAGTCTGAATATAAACACTTATTATAGTTGTATCATAGTTATTCATAAGACAAAAACATGGTTTGGAAGATGGCTTCATGATGTACTTGCTGAAAGTTACATAGTGTACCCTTTTTGTGAAGCGTGATTTCTAGAACTGGAAAAGTCATGTAAATTAATCAAGTCTTATAACTCAATGGGCTTTTTATTATGACATTTTTAAATACATTTATACATTAAAGGTGCCATATGTAATAATTTAGGTAAAAAATCTGAAAAATGAGCTACACGCATCAAAAGAATGAGAAGAAATAAGTGCAATGATGTCATTAAAAAACTGACAAGTTATAGTGCTGCCGAGATATAAACCTAAATTAGCATGCTAAATTAGCTGTGTCAAGCTATACAAAAAAAAAAAGCTCTCTTCTTTTTTTCGAAATTCAAAATGGCTACCAGAAACAGGACTTGATGTAGGATGCTGAAAAGAACAACACATGTTGTGTTTTTGATGCTAGTCCCCAAAGTGAGATTCTGGTCTACTGATATCCACGCCAGGTTCTTAACTAGCTTAACCGTCAACCAGGAAATCCAACTGCTTAATCAACTTCATTTTGTTGGTGAATAGCCTAGCTATACTGCTCCACTACCTAGATCAGCATTAAACTGACGCTATACTGGTCTAAGTTTACCTTTTAACCAGATATTATTATAAACTAAATTGGCACTTTTAGTTTGTGGTTTTCACCTCAGTGCTTGTATTTGATCTATTTCTTTGGATCTGAATGGCTCCTCTTTCAGAGTGAAGTCCTCCAAGAGTAACAGGAGATGTAAGCAGGCTAAGGAACCAAAAGAATGCAAGCGGAATGTGGGATCCAGCCAACAGAGTGCCATCCGCAGTGAGCAGGCTGTTTCTGCTCCGTCAGCAGCCCCCTCTGGCCCTTACATCAATAGGTGAGATTTGTGTTATGCATTGCCATATGGCACAAGCTGTTACTTTATATAGACATGTTTATCTGATAGATGTGTAATGGTCTTAGCTTGGAAATTAAAGTGTTTTTTCTTCTGTAAGAATAACAAATGATGAACGAGAAGATGAGATGGATGAGAACCTGAAGATTGTGGGCGACAACATAATGATTTTGAAGAGCATTGCACAGGGAATAGGCGAAAAGATCAGCGAACAGATCCAAACCATCGACGAAATCAATGATGAGGTAAAGTTACTTAAATCCAGAGGTGATTCATTTGGATAATAGTGCAATTGTGGCGCTAGAGGTTTAGATCTAGCTGGCAATATACACTCTAGTGACAATTTATACACGTAAGTTTGTTAATCAAGTTAACACATATAATAAAAAAAATTGTAAGATTTAGAACTCCGAAAGGTTTGAGAGCTCGGAGGAAGAAGTAATTTGATTTTGATTGGATAGGTGGATAGATATGTGAACTGACTCCTTTATTGTCTTTTTTTGCCAGGTTACAAAAAATACATATGATGTTATTGAGGCAGAAAAACGTGCCAGAAAACACCACTAAGGGAAATACTGAAAGGACGTGTCGGCATGACAAAAATACATGTATATGTCCTGTTGATTTTCTAAATAAATGCTTTTAATTTATTGTGAACAATTATTTTGTACATGTCCATTTTATTACCTTGTAAAGTTTAATCTAAATAACTCAATCTTCTGCTGAAAAGACAGAGTTCTCTGTAGTGACTTCTGCAGGACTTCTCCTGTCATTTAAATAGTTTAAACCACTACAAGCTTCCGTTAAACTACCTTTTGTGTGCAACGTACACAAATCCAGTCAAGAACCAATGGATCGAATCAAGCTCAGCACTAAAAAAAAAAAAAAAAAAAAATCAGGTTGTTCCGCCCTTGCTCCAGTAAACACATCATCAGAGAAGAAAAGAGATGTGGTTTCAAGAATGAAGGGGAGATATTTCAAAATTTTATGTTGTACTTTGTACTGTATGTCCTCTGGACTTTGTGTCAAAATGACCAGCAGAGGTTGCTGTTAGACTATTTTGAAATCTAACCACAAAAAGTCCTTCCTAAAATGGAGTCCTCAAAAAGCATAGTTATGTTAGGTAGGAGAATTTTCTCAGAACTGATTACACTCTGACTCATCCGTGACTTCTTCTAACACGTATTCTTATTGCTTGCTTTTCTTTTTTTCTAGTTAGTTATGTTCTGTAGTGGGCTTATTGGGCCTACCACATTATTTTCTGTGGCTAAGTGCAGCAGAGCTTGTTTCTGTCTTGACAGTTAGGCAAATATCAAGCAGGCCAACACATGCTTAAAGGAGTAGTTCACTTTAAAAAAAAAAAACTTTTGCTGATAATTTACTCACCCCCATGTCATCCAAGATGTCCATGTCTTTCATTCTTCAGTCGAAAAGAAATGAAGGTTTTTGATGAAAACATTCCAGGATTTTTCTCCATATAATTCACTTTAATGGGAACCAAACGGTTAAAGGTCCAAAAGACAGTTTCAGTGCAAACTGTTCAAAGGGCTTTAAACGATTCCAGACGATGAATAAGGGTCTTACCAAGCGAAAACGATCGCTCATTTAAAAAATAAATAACAAAGTTTAACTTTTATAAGCTCAAATGCTTGCTCTTTTCTGTGATGCATGTTTGTGACACTCCTGTTCGAACTCGTTCATCAAAATGAACGAATCTTTTTTCGAGACATTTGGTTCATTCAACGAACGAAATGAACGAACGGACTCGTTCATTTTCATGAAAGAGTTCGAACAGGAGAGTCATGAACGTGCATCACTGAACAGAGCAAGCATTTGAGCTTATAAAACTTCAACTTTGTTATTTATTAAATGAGCGATCGTTTCGCTTGATAAGACCCTTATTCATCGTCTGGAATCGTTTAAAGCCCTTTGAACAGTTTGCACTGAAACTGTCTTTTGGACCTTGAACCATTTGGTTCCCAGTAAAGTCTGATGACAAAAAAAGAGAAAGAATGATGACAAAGTGCATGCAATTAATTTTTAAAGCTTGTCTTATTTCAACCCCCTTATATTATTTCAATATTCTATTGTTTATCAGTTGTATTAAAATGGCTGACTGCTTGGTTTCATCCGGACCATGGCACAATTATGCCTTTTTACCGTTTTTACAGTTTAAAGCGAGCAGCGCGTCAAAACAACAGAGTGGTTCACACCGTAAGTGGTCAGGGTCATTTACTGTAATGATATGTTGGCGCTACATCCTGTGATATATTTTTCTCTTGAGCTAAATACGCTTCAAGCCCTTTCTGCTCCGTTCACGTGCTTCTCTCGCTCTCGCAAAGACGTAAAGCGCCACACGAGAGCTGCAGATGGCACAGTTATTTTTATAGGAGTAGCAGAAACACGGAGAGCATCAAAACAGATACTTTTTCTAAAATTAGTGTTAGCAACCCCAAACCGCAAAACAAAATTAATCCACTGCTCTCTTGCCTCATCTGAGACTGGAACTCTAAATTTACTGTTGTGTTAGAACTGGTTACACTGTTGTCGCTTGGGTGGAAACGTGCAGATTAAGGGGTGGTAATATTATAATAAGACCCCCTTCCTACGTCATAAGGGGAGAGAAATCTGATTGGCTTAATTTTTCACATGCTTTTTGACAAAGAAAGGCTTATAAAAAAAAAACAGTTCTCCTGGGTTGTCACTTTTCCACGTTTTCTGCGTTTCCCAATTATAGCACTTCAAGAACCCCTGAAATCAAAATGTACGGGTTTTTTTTTAGCTCTTAACATATTCTATGAATATGTTAGCCCAAAGGTTATGAATAAGCTTGTGTGTTCCAAAACAATGACAAAATTCACATTTAGAGGATATAAGCGTTCAAAACTTAGTCTCTCACTTCCGCTAAAATTGATGGCAGATTTGTATGACATTACCACAATATTGGCTATTTGAAAAGGGTGAGGACGGAGCCATTCAATATGTCCTGCCTTAGCTTCCTGTTTCAGTAGAAATTTCGGTTCAAGGTCCAAAAGACAGTTTCAGTGCACTGAAACTGTCTTTTGGACCTTGAACCGTTTGGTTCCCATTGAAGTCCATTATATGGAGAAAATTCTTGGAATGTTTTCATCAAAAAACCTTAATTTCTTTTCGACTGAAGAAAGAATGACATGGATATCTTGGATGACATGGAGGTGAGTAAATTATCAGCAAAAGTTTGTTTTTTTTTTTTTTTTTTTAAAGTGAACTACTCCTTTAATACTATTTCCAGTGTTCGTATGTACACTGTATTGGGCAAACGAATGTTGCTGGACTACTGAATTTAAAAATTCCTGTAGCTGTGTGAAGCTGTGTTCTTCCTACGAATGCAGAGCTACAGTGATTTGGGAAGTTTCATGCAGTGTTTCTGCTGAACTGGCAGCAGCTGTGAGAGCCGAGTGGAAACAGTGACTGAGTCTCCTGGATGTGAGGAGTGAGTCACATCAACCCCCCTCCACCCCTTCCAAGATTCCACGGTAGTCATCACTTGAGCTGAACCCAGAACAGCGTCGCCATTTTAACTCCTTTTGCTTGTTTTCACAACTCATTATGAGTCTTGAATAACAACTCTAAAAATAGTTATCAAGTGAAGATCACTCAGTTACCACAGTTACACAGATATTTCGCAACAGAGAGTGCGATGGAGATCTCATCCACAAACCTGACACTTAGGTTGTTTGGGTCAGGGACGATAGTGTCTTTTCTTCTTTGAGCTCACTCACTTGTGGAAGTCACACCTCACTAACAGGAAGCATCTGCTTGCAAGCTCAAGGGTTCACGGTACCCTTGTGAACCTCTTACAAACAGACCTAAATGATTATACAAATTGATTTGTCATGCAAAACATAAACAATTTGCTGGTCAGAACTTATATTTTCATAGTACGATCTTGATGCATTAACCTGCAAATGCTTCACGCTCTTTAAAGTTTTCAGAGCTTTTGAGATTACAGTCAACTGCCTGCTAATGCAAGTGGAAAACGAATCGTTTAAAAGTGCTTTATACTTGGCAGCATCACAAATATGTTCCCCCTCCTGATGGCCCTTGAACAGGTGGTGCAGTGTAGATGTTCTCCATCAATTTGCTTTGAGGACGCTCTTTGCAAATGTTATGGATCCAACGATAAGGAGCATCGAGGAGGGTGGGGTGGATGGGATGCCATTCGCTCCCAATGGTAAAACTAACCATATGTTGGACTGCAGACCTTATGGAACTTCTTTTGGGGTCCCTGGGCATCTGGAGTTGTTTAACTTCAGACACTTTCAGACTATGGGGGAGGAGGGAGGGAAATTCACTCCTCACAGCTCTGTTTCTTGGGTTAACGCATCTGCAGACATTGTTTATGCTGCGTTCACCATGAAAGCGAGACAGAGACGAGGAGAAGCAAAGTTAATGTTTGAGGTTTATTTAGCTCAACTGTGTGTGTGAGACTGTGGGGGGGTGGAAAGGGGTTGGCTGACCACCCTGGACAGCCCCTTCCTGACTACATTGCTGACAGGAAGTTTAGAAAGAAAAAGAGAAAAGGGGACGTGCATTTTTCTGTTTCTTCTTTTAGTTTTTTTTCTGCATTTTAATTCTTGCGGCCACCCTCGTTTTCAAAAGGAATACATAATTCGGAAAACGCACCAAAGAGAAAAAAAGCGAAAGAGCTAAGCAAGAGTATGGAGGACAGCTTTTACTGCATATTTGCTCATTCTGTGAGGAATTATCTGTGACGCCAAAGGAAGAATGTTGAGTTTTAAGACTGAATGATGAAAACAGCTGTTGGGACTCAGAACACAGAGCATCCTGAGAGTAAGTACTGCCAGATCCACAAACATCCACTCAGTATATACATACTCCACAGCTGTCTTAGCATTTTTTATTGTTTGCTCCCACTGAGCAGAAAAGGTATTTGTTAAGTCCTGAAATTATGCTCATTGGAAAGCTGGAACAACTGGAAGTCTTCACTTTTATGCTTATTTAAGACATGAATCAATATTTGTGAATGTCCAAACACTTCATATATTGTGAATATCATATCATTGAAATGTAAAAGCTTAAGAAAACCCCATTTTGAAAGGTCACTATCCTGAATATGTGGGAGTGACGTGGATATGTCTCCCAGGCCCAGATCTGTAATATGTAATGCTTTTACATATCTGAAGTGTTTTAAAGGGACACTAATATAAAATATAGACTGCCAACAACATGTGTGAATTTCAGCCAGGTAAATGTTGAGGAATTGCACAAACACCCTTGTTGCTCGTCTCTATGTCTTGGGTTTTGTCTCTAAACCCAGTGTCTTGTGAAATTGGGTTCTTGTTTTATTTAATGGATATTACCTTTTTAAAGGACAACTCCGGCGCAAAATGAACCTTTGGTCTAATTACACATTGCTACCTAGTCAACCGTTATCTGAGATTTGTTTTCATGATTGCCGAATGTAAATAGTTTTATCTCTAAAAACAGTTTAGCCTATAACACTAGTATAATGCTAGTATATAGGGCATAGAATAATGACAAATAAAAATCGCTTGTTATTACCACCAACAAGGCTCAAAATAGCCCCATACCAACACGACAGCATAACAAGGGTCCCTACATTCAAACCGAAGCATTGAGAACTTTGTCAGTGTCCA